ATTGGCCCTTTCCCAAGACCTGGGAAATTCTGTTTTGCGCCTGCTGTCCCCTGGCTTACAGGTCCTCAGCCCAGTGGAGCCCAGCCCAGCCCAGCCCAGGCCAGGACATCACTTGTGAGCACTGCTCAGTGAAGAAAGCGTCCGTCCTCATGGCACCCCAACTCTCCGGGGAGAATCACTCAGGTTCCTGAGATCAGAGGAGGACACAGAGCAGTCACTGGTCAACCAGCATCTTCCAGAACCTTCGGATACCTCAGCCAGGGCACCAAATACACAATAATTAGCACGCTGGTCATACAGATAGCTCAATTCTGAAACATTCTAGGTGGTATATGTTATAACATTGTGGCAATACTTAATAGCATCGATAAAGATTCTAAAAATCCATCTGTAATTCCACGATCCAGTAATGCTGCTGACTCTGTTAGAAAGCGTGGTTGCATACAAACTTTTAAGACTTGAATAGAGCCAAGAGACATACAAACAAAGTGAAATCCCCTTGTGCAGCTCTCCTTCTTGACTTTCTGTTAAAAAAAAAAAAAAAAACCACCAACAGCAATTTCCATCAATCTTGCAAGAAAAATTATTTAGGTGGAAAAGTCCAATGAACAGACTCAGGGTCACACGGTGTACTCATATATATTTTTGTAAAAATTCAGTACCTCTTGGAAAACCTGCAGTGTAGACACCTAATTTACAGGTTCTGAACCTTAATCTGTGCACTGTGTTTCTTAGCAGTGTCCTTGGAAACACCACTTAGTCAGCCCGCATCTCTAGTTCCTCATCCTTAAAAAGAGGGACAAAATGACACCTCACAGAACTTCTGTGAGTAAAAAGTAGGCTTTGCTCGACAATGACAGCTATAGTTGCAGGAACTCAAAAAGCATGTTTCATTACAATTGCCATTAGGATATGACTGTTTAATGTTTAGTGGGTATAACCTCCCCGTGTATGTAAAAATCAATATGGAAATACCTCAAAGAGCTGGGACTAGAGGTTCCATTTGACCCAGCCATCCCTCTGTTGGGTATCTTTCCAAAATAATTAAAAGAATCATACCACAGTGATATATGGACACCCATGTTTATAGCAGCACAGTTTGTAATAGCTAAAATTTGGAAACAGCCATTTGCCCATCAGTTGGAAATTGGATATAGACGATGTGGTTGTCCTATAAATAAAATACTACTCAGCCATAAAGAATGAGAAATTAGAGTCATTCATAGGAAAATGGACACATATTGAGGATATACTCTTAAGTGAAATAAATAAGTCACACCTGTATAAATACGGAATAGTTTCTCTAGTGTGAATAAACTGTAATAGTACATAAGATCCTAATGAGGTAACTGACATTGTGAAATGGGAAGCAAGGGCTAAAGGTGTAGGGAAAGTGGGAAGGGTAGGGGAAAAGTAATAAGGGAAAAAATATGAGAAAATGAAAATAAAGTGTTTGTAAATGGGGAGGAAAGGAGGGGGTGAAGGGAGGGCAGGGACAAGGGGAAAAAATGAGAACCAAGACCTGTCACATAAAGGTACAAGATCCCAATGATGAATGTAACTGTACTGTATACCTAAAATGTACCAATACACTAAATAGAAGCAAAAAAAAAAGCACTTCAGAAAATGTGCCCCGAAATCATGCATAAACGTGAACATTTTCCTGCTTGTTTTCTCCTTTGTTTGTAGTTTTGCTACCACAAAAATACTGAAAAGCATGCTCACACATATTTACCAATGTTTTATTTCATTGTTAAGTTGACATCAAACTGTACAGTCTAGTGAGTCCATGGTGTTTCAGCACAGGTATATTTTGCATCATGTTCAAGTCAGAGTACACACGTCTGTCTCCTTAAACATTCACGATTCCTCACGGCAAAAACATTTGAAGTCCTTCTGTACCTTTCTGCAGGACACTGTCAGTGTCTTGTGTCATCCTGCCATGCTGTAGGACATCGGAAGTCACTGGTGCCGCCTGACCGCGTCGATCAATCCCCCCTTCCCACCCTCTCCCAGCCCTGGTGAGCACTGTTCTGCTCTCAGCTGCCTCGTATTTGGCATGTGAATGAGATCAGCTGTACAAGTCTTTTCCTGACTGGCTGGTTTTACTCATATAATGACTTCCTGATCCAGTCATGTCCTCACAGGTGACAGCATTTCGCCGTGGCCAGCTGGTGTCCACTGTACGTCCACACCACGCTTCCTTTCTTCACGCAGCTGCGGATGGACACGTATGCTGTTTCTGCTTCTGGGCTGTGGTGAGGAGGCTGCAGTGAGCCTTAATTGTTTCTTTGACACACTGAGTTCATTTCTTGAGGACAAGTGTGTGAGAGAGACGTTCCTGGGTCATGTGATCATTTTACTTTGACTGTGTTAGGGTCGCCTTTTCCACATGGCTGTCCTGATTTACACTCCCGTCCACACTGCCTGGCTTTACCTGCTCCACGTGCCCCAGCCCGTGTCTCGGAAGCCTGCCAGATGGTTCTTGTGCCTTCCAGAGCGAGTGATTGCACGCTGTAGTGCTCACCTGCATGCCCCAAGGGTCCAGGGTGGCGAGCATTGTTTTGTCCACCTGCTCACCATTGTGCTTCCTCTCCTGGGCAATGACATTTATTGATATCGGTTGCCCCTGTTCATCTGGATTATTCAGCATTTTGTCATGGAGTTGAGTTCCCTCTATGTTCTGCATATTAACTCTTATCAGGACAATAGCTTGCAAATATTTTCTCCCATTGCGTAGGTAAGCTCTTCTCTCTGTGGTTTCCTTTGCTGGGCTGAAGCTTTTAAATTTGATATAATCACATATGTGTACTTTTAGAATACATTTATTACTTGTGCTGTTGGAGCCTTATCCAAAATATCTTTGTCTATTCCAATATTTTGAAACCTTTCCCTTGCATTTTCTTCTAGTAGGTTCATAGTTTTAGACCTTACATTTAAATTTCCAGTTTATTCCAAGTTGATTTTGTATACGTGGAAAGACAGGAATCTAGTTTCGTTCTCTGACATCAATATCCACATTTTCTCAGCACCATTTACTGGCGAGACTGTCCTTTCCTCAGCACAAGGTCTTTGTTGAAGGTCTTGCAACTGCATATATCTTGGGTTTCCTTCTAGGCAGCCTGTTCTGCTCCACTGAGCTACAAGTCTGCTTTTATGCCAGTACCATGATGTATTAATCACAACAGCTTTCTAATGCATATTTTGATGAATACATAAAAATTATATGCATTAGTGAGTTATCGTGATATTTCAACATGACTTTTTAATATTTAAATTAGGTTAAATGTATTGAGTTCTTCAAATACTTGAAGTCAGTATGATGCTTCCTGCTTTAGTTTTTCAGGATATTTTTTAGGGGTGCTCAATAGAAATGTGGAGATGTGTTCCGATCTGTTAAGGACGTCATTGGTATTTTCTTAGGGAGAATGTTGGGTCTGTGGATGAGCTTTGGGCAGAATGAACATCTTGATTCTTCCAGTCTGTGAAGAGGGAATGCCTTCCACTCTTTTGGTGTCCTCTTCAGTTTCTCTCGTGTGTATTTTATAATTCTATTGCAGACATATTCTGCCTCACCAACGTGGTTTTTATAGATATTATAAATGGGATTGCCTTCTTGATTTCTATTTCAGATGACTTGGGATTAGCATATAGCAATGCTACTGATTTTTGTACATTAATTTTACATCCTGCAACTTTACTAACTCACTTATCACTTCTGATATTTTGAGTCCCTGGGGTTTTCTATTTATCCTGTCATTTGCACACAGTGATAATCGGACTTCCTCCTTTGCAAGTTGCACATCCGTTAGTGTCAGCTGACTGCTGTGCTTAGGACTTCCAGAGCCATGAGAAAAGTGGTGAAAATGTGTATCTCTGTGTTGTGCTGCTGCAGGTCCTGAGAGAAAGCGTCCAGCTCTCCCCGTAGCAAGCGATGCTACACAGGATTTTGTTGTATGTGACGTTTATGGCCGAGAGGCACATTCCTCGTACACCCCATTTCAGGGTTTTCACTCTGAGGGGACGCTGAGTTTTATTAAATGGCTTTTCTTCATCTGCGGAGGTGATCACGCAGGTTTTGTTCTTCGTTCTGCGAATGTGATGCACTGTAGTATATGGTTTGCATGTGCGGGCCCGTCCTGGTTTCTATGGGATGAATCTCATTGATCCTGGTGAACGGTCCTTTTTAGGACCAATATAGAAGTGCTCATAGAAAAGATTAACCCCTCAACTTGAATTGTTCATTTCAAGTGTTGATGGACATTTTGGGTCACAGAGGTGCTGGCCTTCTGAGCTGGTGTTCAGTTTCCACATTCCCTTGTTTTTATTCTCACTGGGGCCAACCTTGAAAATATTTGTCTATCAGAAAGGAAAAATATAAAGTGTAGTCTCTCAGTTGTGTCTCTTTGTTACTCAGTCTGTTATACTCGAGAATTTCTATAAAACCATTTCTTTTGCATTCCTTTAATACCTTGCTTAGAAAGATTTCCATGACCCTTAAATGAATTTTCTTCTGCTTTCTTGTGGACTAATTTGTTAAGTTGCACATTTTTTTAGAATGTGTCACATGTGACTCATGTTCTAAAATTCACCTGCATAGAGCTTTGTGAAGTTCTGTCTTGGGACTCTGTGTCCATCTCTCTATGCGGCCCCCACCCCCAATATTAACACCTAAGTCTGTGCCCCTTTTCCCTGGCACCTCTGCTGCTATCCAGCTGAGGTCACCGTCCTTGGTGTGCTGAGGTCCCCTCTCTCTCTGGAGTCAAGAACTTGCCATCTTCTTCTCCGTCTCCCTGGAAGGATGGGGATGAAGGAACTGTAAGAGGGCAGTGACCCCTCAGCCTGTTCTGCTCACAGGGTTTCGAGCCTTTCTACCAGATGCCCTTCTCAGAGGAAACATGGTGTTTGTCAGGAAAACACAGTGACAAAATGTCATGCATGCGGAATTGGCCATGGCTCCTGTGAAAGTGTAACTGTTCTCTCTTCCTCTGTTTCTCCAGTCAGGCGTGATAAGGACAGAGGAAGCCGACTACTTCCTGAAGCCACTTCCACCACACCTGGCAGGGAAGCTGAACAGCTCTGCCCCAGGCGGCGCCCCCTCCCACCTGCTGTACAAAAGATCCACAGAAACCTGGGCCCCGCGGGCCGTCGAGGTGCTGCTGGTCTCCAGGCGGCGGGAGCTGCCCAGCCAGCCCCGAGGCAGCAGCTCTGACCTCCAGCTCCCACAGAAGCAGCATTTCTGTGGAAGGCGCAAGAAATGTATGTAAGGGTGGTTCCTTTTGTGTTGAAAGATTTGGCCATTACATTTTTTTTTTTTTTAAGTCAGGGCCGTCTCCTGAACTACCTCACAGCACTTTTTTCCAATTTTATTTATTTATGTATTTATTTTGGAGACAGGCTCTCACTAAGTTGCTAAGATGCCCAGGCTGAACTTGAAGTTGTGGTCCTCCAGCCTCAGCCTCCCAGCGTACTGGGATTACAGGCGTGTGCCACCATGCCAGGCCAATGGAAAATTCCTAATTCCCTGCAGAAATATGTCAGCATGTGAGGCAATATTGATTGATTAGCATTGCTACACTGGGGCAGTGGTTCCAGAGAGTTCCCTGTCTGCCAGTCCCCCAAACCCTTGTCCTGGGAAGATGGAGAGGTGATGGTAGGTGGTTTCCTGCTTTTGTTTTGTTTTGATACCAGGGATCAAACTCAGGAGTGCAGGAGGCAGCACCATTGAGCTAAATCCCCAGTCCAGTGGTTTCCCTTTTTATAAAAATTGTTCCCTGAGTAGATTAAATGACTCTGCTCAGAAGTATAGAATCCACCAGACATCTTCAAAAGAGCCCTGGCTTCTCTGCTCGGTAATTCTATATTTTTGAGGTTTAGATTTATTAAAGCCTGCATAGCTTTCCTGTTGAAGCAATTTATCCATATCCATATCTATGTGCTTTACTCCACCACATCAAAGAACAGACTAAGCATGGTGCCATCTACCTGCAATTCATCACCAAGGTGGCAGAGAAGTCCTTTTCTCAGGGCCATTTAGGGGGTGATCTGTTATTTCAGGAACCACAGTGCTCTAAGGTCCCCTCACTTCCTTCAGCTGTGTCCTCAAGCTCGCCTGACTGACTCTTCCCCTGCTGGTAGTACAATGAGCCTGGGCTCTCCTTTGTTTGTATCATTGGCTTTGATGACTGCTATATCCAGCACCCTAAAATAAAGCTAGGCATATGGCAGGTACTAAGTGAATCTTGGTGAATAAAGCGAATGAGCCGAAATTATTTGACCTCCCAACAAAAATACGGCTAGAATACCACTTGAATTATCAGGGCCTGAATTCATTTTATCCTATGTACAACATTCATGCGCTACCTGCAGGAGAACTTGCAAAACTCAAATTCAAATGAACCTAGGTAGTGGGCCCTTGTTTCATCTTTCAGAGTTCCCTGGGAGTGGAAAGTGAGATCCTGGTCTTCTGTCTCTGTGGGGTTCATACTTACAAAGATCCTTCCCTGGTAGGGGAGGAGAGTTTGTCCTCCGTGTTCAAATCATCTCTTATCACAAGTTCAAGCCCAGCCTGGACGACTTAGTGACTTAGCAAGATGCTGTCTTAAAGTAAAAAAGGGGTGAGGGTATGACTCAGGGCAAAGACCCTGGGTTCCATCGCCAGTATTGAAAAAGAAAATAACAAAACAGAAAAATAACGAAAGTAAAGTCAGACTGATTTGTGTTGGGTAATAGCGAGGAGGCCTAGTCTGAGTGACACTTGGGTCCTCTGTTACAGCCCCATGCGGCAATGGTGGCCCAGGTTTGGCTGGCGCTCTCATCATGAGTTTGGGGATGGTGCTTGGGCATCACATGGGTTGTGCAGTTCACTGTGTGAGCCTGAATGGCGAGACCAGCACCACGCAGAGCCGCTGTCCCTGCACCCAACCCCAGGGCTGTGGGCATCCTGACCTGTGCTGTATCCGGCTTGTCCTGGGCACATTTCCTGCCTTTGGAAATGGAGACCAAGGGCTCAGGACCACCCAGGCCAGACTGTATCCCTCTTCCAAGACTGTCTAGAGCAGGACCCCAGTGGTGTTGTTCTCTCTGCCTCAGTGATCTCATCCCAACCAGGCCGTGCGTAGGTGGCCTGGTGGCTGAAGGAGTCCTGAAGACAATGCCCAGGGGGCAATCAGCGCTGTGGAATGATGAGAGCTGTGAAGGCAGGCGAGTGTGGGCTGTGTGATTCTTGTTCCCAGGGTCATGTGATTACTGCTCTCTGGAGATCCATTTAGCTTTGGAGGCACAGGTTGTGTCTCTTTCTATGAAGTGCTGTCCATCAGAAGTAGTGCAGATTTCCAATTGTCTGCGTGTTGAAACATTTTTAGATGTAATGGAATATCTTGGTGTGGGGTCCGAATCTTAGCACTAAACCCGTGTTCCACGTGCACCGCAGCCCATGGCCAGAAGGTGTCTGACACAAGGTCGTTAGCGCACCTAGGGTCTGAAGTTGAGCCATCACAGAAGGTCAGGAGTACAATTCTCGATTTGTGATGCCCTGTCAGTATTCAAAAGGCCTCGGACTTTGAAGCACACATTTGCCCTATTTCTTGGATTAGTGAGGCCTAGCATTGTAACAAAAAGAAATGAAGTGAACTGGGTGTGAGTGCTGCTCAATCCGCAGCATCTGCTCACAGCCAGTAGCTGTGGCTTGTGTCACTTGGATGTGTGGCTTCCCTGAAATCTCCTGAAGGGCATTGTCTGAGGGATCCGTTAAGTCTCATTGTTTTCATATAGTATTGACTTAAACACTGTGAAGGTCTAAGGTGTTTTTAAATTACTCAAAGAAGGCAGAGTGTGTTTTGCTTTCTAATTAAATTAGATAGCTATGTATGACACCTTCTAGGAAATTAAACTCTGCAGTGAAACAGAGCTGCCACAGGGAGTTTAGAATCCGCTTCGAACTGTACAGCACAGTCCAACCCCAGATAGGAAAACAGTGTGAGCCATCTTGGTCATTGTTACTGCGCTCCTTCCTCGGGGCTCTGCTGCAGAGGAGCCTGTCCCCCAGATGGGGCGCTTGCAGTCTTTAGGGTTTGCTTAAAATGCCAGGACTCCAGAGCAGAGAGTCTCCTCTTCCTGCTTTGAGTCAGGACAGAAGTACAGCGGTGATTTCTATACACCTGCAAGGGCTGATCAACAGCTGCAGTGAATGTTTACATTGAAAAGATAATTGCAGTAAGAGCCACCTTGCCCCGAATCTCCTCAAATTTCACTTTGAATGCACTTGGCCTATCATTCTTGCCACTTTCTGGAAGTCCCGCTTCACGAGTGTCTATAATGGATGATAAAAAATTAACGTTGGCGAACGCGGCTGCGGAGTAAAAGCGTGACCCTGTGTCCTCCTCCACCCTCTTCACTGATCTGTCACCCTGGCTTCTCACTCTTCCCCAGAGTCAAAATGTGCATGGAAGGGAAACGTTTTCGATCCACTCTGGACACTGAGGCAGCCACGACAGTGCAACTGCAGACACCCATGAAAGAGGACTCCAGAGCGGCTGCAGAGAGTGGCGAGGAGGATGGGATGGGTGTGCTGAGAGCGGAGGGGGGCTTGAGGGGTTCATGGCAAGGTGTCTTCCGCTGTCATCATCTTTATATTAAACACACCGTATTTTTATCACACCTCATATATTGCAGCAACTTTACATATGGCGTTCTGTGTAGCCCAACTTCAGTTTCACAGTGAGTTAATGCTTATATGTTTTCATTGAGCATTCGTTTTTTATTTTATGAAACATAAAACAAAGCTTCATAATGAAATAATAAGAGAATAACAATAGTCACTCTCCTTGTCTTCACAGTAGTTACTCAGAGTACAAGACGTAACCAAAAAGATTCTTACCGAAAAGCAACAGATAATAATGCAACACTTCCTTGTCAGTGAAATAAAACTAGTAGTATAAATGAAATCAATGACATATATGCTGAATGACTTTTGAAATATCGCAATTTGGGGAAGTGTGTGAACGTCTCCCCAGGTCCTTTGTATCTCTCCACTGTTCTGCCCTGGCTGGTGTGTACGCGGTGTCTCTTGTACTCGGAGACCACACTGCCACATTAAGTTCAGATCTGCACAGAAAGAGTCGCCGCGCGGGTTTTGTGCAATGGGTTTGCACCCCTCTGCTCTTCTTCGCTGTAGACATGCCACAGCGCCCCCAGGACCTCTTCGTCCTGCCCGACGAGTATAAGCCCTGTCTGCGACCCAAGCGCTCTCTGCTAGAGTCCCACAGGAACGAGGAGCTGAACGTGGAGACACTGGTGGTGGTGGACAGGACCATGATGCGAAGCCACGGCCAGGAGAACATCACCACCTACGTGCTGACCATCCTCAACATGGTAGGGCCTGCTGCCCCCGGCGGCCAGCTGGGGAATGACACTGGGAGACTGCATGCGTGTGAGAGACGGCCCATTCTTAATCGAGGACGTGTGTCTCATAAATAAGAAAGATTTCTGATATGGCTCTTTATGTTTTACTATGCTCCAATCGAAGGCGACATTTCACAGTTTCAGACAATGAAATAAAGAGAAAAAAGAACTTGACTCTGCAGTCTGTCTGCCTGGGAGGTGTTTCCGGCCACCACTGTCCCTCCTTGCTGGCAATCTCTAAGAGGAGGCTGAGACCACTCAGAGCCTTGAATCTGTCTGTCAGCATTCGATGTGTGATTTTAGAGGACTGTGTACAAATGCCCTCCTTTCTGAAATTCTAATATTCAGGTGACTGTAAGTTAGTTTGACTATGAAAACCCAGGGCGGTACAAGCTTGCAGAACATTGGCTCACATGAGGTGCGGCTTTGTCTCAGAGTGGCAGCCGCGGTAATCATTGAGCAGTGGTGAGAGCTATGCCAAGCCCTGCCACGTGTGCGTGAGCTCCAGAGCACAAAGCTATGTGGGGTCGCAGTGTGCTTTAAAAGGTGGTCTGATGAGACTACGCTAGCAGTGTGTTTTATGTTCTCCTTCAGTGAATGCAGCTCCCCTAAGTCTGTCTCCCTCTTCGTAGTGCTGTGCGGTCATCTTGCTGCTGCCATTTCTGGCAGGTGGAATCACAGATTGCTGGTGGAGGAAACAGGAAACGGGCAAGGAAGGCTGCCCAGTTCTGGGAGGCGGAGGGGGAGTCCCATGGAGTACCACAGGGCCCATCCTGCTCTGACGGGGGAAGCCTTGGCCTCTACCAGGCAGACTTGACCAGCATTTACTTCTACACGGTGGTGCCCGTCAGCCCCCTGCTGTACCGGCCCACAATTGTCACTCGTCCCTGCTTCTGTCCCGGGGCACCCGCTACTCACCCATTTCTACTTCTGTGTTTCATGCTTTGCATTTTTTTTCATCTTCTTACCACCTGTTCCCTTCTTTTTCTTGTGTCCTTGTCTTGGTTACTTCTCTGGTTGTAGAGACAAAATACTCAACAACCAAAGTCAAAGGAGGAAGGCTTATTTCAGCTCACAGTTGTAAAGATTGCAGTCTATAGTTGGCTGGTTCCAAAGCAGGGTGACGTGGCAGAAGAGAAACAGTCCGCTGCAGGGTGAGCAGGAGGCAGCAAGCAGCAAAGTCACAGCAGCAAGCCTCCTTTCCCCTTTATCCCATCCAGACTTCTAGACTTTTTAGTAGTGCCATCCATACCCAGGGTGGGTCTTCCCATTATCCATACCCAGAACTATGGTAAAACAATCAGTGGATTTGGTCCAGTACCACACACCCTTAATCCCAGTATCACACATCCATGACCTAGGCATCTCCAGAAAGCCTCACCTGGGGAGGACATCTAGACAAGCCCTGGAAGTTCTCTTAGTCTTATCCTAAGCATTTCTCTTGTGCTTCTGAAATTTCTTGCCAGGATAGCTTGGGGTATGCTTGGCTTTTCTGGTCATCACTATGTGTTAGAAAGCTTGTCCCTGATTCAAAAGAGGACACTTTCCAACTCAGGGACCTATAATCCCTCCATTAATACTCAGTGATGACAGGTGAAATCCCCACGCCCACCCCCAGGTTCAGCTGTTTACTTCCAGGCAGGCATGATGAGGCTCCTACACTGATGACTAGGTATGTTTGTACCTATCCAGCAAAGAAGATAATTACAGGATTCTCTTCTGCTCACCAGCCAGACCCCAGGTATTTGGGGGCTGATGTGGATTTGCTATCTGTTCCAGGTGTCTGTGTTATTCAAGGATGGAACCATCGGAGGAAACATCAACATTGCCATTGTAGGCCTCATTCTACTGGAAGACGAACAGGTATTCTGTTTTTTAAACCACTGGTTTGCTTTTTCCCCTGAAAAATAAGTGCAAAATAGTGCTTTTCTTTTGCTTTAATATAATCATTCTATCGATTCTTTTCTTTCTCTTTGGGAAAAAAAAATTTAATGTTTGGTGCCTAAACCAACAAGTTTCTTTTCAGATCTTTTCAATTATTTTATGCTACTTTTTCTTCTGGAAAAGTGAGGAAAGTCTATAAAATTGGACTAGAAGAAAGTGGAGTAGAAGAGCTGCCTTAGACCTGTGGGCGGGAAACGTGCCAGGGGCACAGAGGACAGGATGTGTCTGGGGTCCCTCGGGCCTGTGGGAATCATGCCCTTTCTGGTTTTTGCTAGAAGATTAACTATGTGTCTGGCACAGCCTGTATGCTGCATTGTACTGCGTGTCACTACCCTGCTTCACTCTGCTATGACTCTGCTCTGAAGAATGAGTGTTCTGCCTTAGCTTCTTATTTTGGTGAGGATTCTGAAATGTCCGGCACCTGTCCCAGAGGGCAGACAAACCCCAAACTGCTCTGGTCTTGATAGCAGCGGGAAAAGGACTTTGCCTGCACTGCCCTCAGAACCTCTTGGTCCACATAGCACTTCCAGGCATGGGGAGTGGGGAAAATCTTAGAAAAGGTTCTCATGCCTACTTTCCCCAGGCTGAACCTGGACTAGGAGAAGAGAGCGCCAGATTCTCCCATTAGCCGCAGCACCCTTGGGCACAGCACACATTTATGAGATGGAACCTGAGCCTGGCCAGATCCCTTTCCCCTGCAGTGCAGGGCAGTGCATGTGGGAGGCTGTGTCTGCTGCAGCCCCTGGGGAAGGCTCAGCCTCTGTGTCCTTTGTGTGCCTGTCTGGTGGGGAGGGGGCCAAGCCGGGCTTCTCAGGTGACAGGTTAATTACTCCTTGTATTAAAGTGTTTTCACCTTGGAATCCATCCAAGCTGCAAAAGAATAAGCGAGGTTATCGTTTGATCGTACACCTGTGCTCACTTTAATTAATGCCATGTTCCTGGAAGTCACCAGCTGAGGAATGTAAGGCACGCCCCAGGGCTTATGGATGGCATTTAGCTTAGGTGTAGCTGATTGTCTGAGAAACAAAATGAACCTTGCAGGAGAAACCATTTGTAGTGACTGAGAGACACAGATCTTTCACCGCTGCATAAGTGGGAGCTATTACACAAAGATGTACTGAGATCCAAGTACTTAACCTGGTATTTTTGAGCGCCCATAGGAGAATATGCCATACGTGTAAATGAGTTTGGATATCTCACCACAGCCTATAGTGATGAGTGTTCCTGTTACCTCCAAACCCCTCAATCCTGAGAGTTCTGAAGTTTTTCACTGTGAGGTTTCAGTTGCTGCATGAGAACTTGACATCACGGACAGGGACCGGTGTCTTCTGAGTAGTATTCTTGCAGCGGAGATTGATTTTCCAGAAATCAAGCTTTGCCGATCACCCCGCCTCTTTTCATAAACATGTTGCCTTGTCAGCTGGTTCTTACCATGTGGCGATAAACATTAAATGGGGCATTATTTGGGAAGCAGGGATTACCATCTGCTCAGCTTACTTAAGAAAGGAACATACCTCTGGCTCCATGTGTTCTCAATGTGCATACGTGCAAAGCCATACTTGAATGATCCTGTTGCCTTAGATAACTTTGCAAAATGGTTTTCAGAAATTTTAAGTGCAAAAAATTCCATGCACAAACAATGATGGGACTGGGTCACTGAACATGCATTCAGAACCAGACAGGCACATTCCTGAGGTCTATGCACAGAAAGGCAGCAGAGTCCTCACGGAATCCACACAGGTTTAGAAAACACACTCTCTCTCTCTGGGACTTTAGTGCCTCCGCTCATGTGCCATTCAGGTCCAGCCATGTATTTGAAATCTGAGTTGATGACACTCTGGCGGTGACTTGCCTCGTGGGGGGCTTTCCCTCCATTTTCCCGGGGTCCTCCCCTCTCTCTCATAGCCAGGGCTGGTGATAAGTCACCATGCAGACCGCACCTTAAGCAGCTTCTGCCAGTGGCAGTCTGGGCTGATTGGGAAAGATGGAACGCGCCACGACCACGCCATCTTGCTGACCGGCCTGGACATATGCTCCTGGAAGAATGAGCCCTGTGACACTCTGGGTAAGTCCCTCCAGAGCAGCGTGGAGACTGTGTGTCGGCCTGGGGGTGGAGTGCATACGAGACTTTTGCATCTGCTGTGAATGACAAGGGAGAAGAGATGTATTCTCTGTGTGAACTCTTTGGATAAGTGCAAGAGAAGGCTTTGATTCACTAAGAGTGATTTCGTTCCTAGCATGTGCAAGGCCCTGGGTTCAATCTGCACCATGGGATGGATGGGGGTGGGTATCAAGGAACAAAGGAAAGTCCTTCGTAGAGTAAAGAGTTTCTGAATCTTCTGATATAAGACATAATTTCTTCCATTTTTCTACCTTTGCGAGAATGGGAACAGTAGATTCAAGTGTGTTTCATTAGATGGCAGAAACAGCCATAATTATAAATGCTTATAAAGAGTCCACAGAAATATTGTATTCCACTTTCTCTAGCAGTGTCTCAGTTTTAGCAATTGAGCAGTCTTTAGGTGTGTGGAGGTGGCTGTGTCTTGAGGGCAGCAGTTTGGTGTTTTCTCATGGTCGGTGTGAAGAGTGTGCTTCCGGGACAGAGGGTGGTGGTGGAGCTCTACCATGTGAGAAGCCAGGTCTGGGAGGAAAAGTGTGCTGATAACTAGGACTCCTTGACACATTGTTTTGCCCCTTCTTTATTCCTATGTTCTCCGGGAGGAAGTTGTTTTATTCTAAAACTTTCAGCTAGATCCTGGTCGACCCATGCCTTAGCCCTATAATTCAGGAAGAGTTGCAGTGGCCCCCCACTTGTCCATACAGAAGCTTGTCTCCAGGGTTGTCCTTGGAAGCTGCAGGGACATAGATTTCGGGGATGGCTGTCACCACCCTACCTAGTAAGGGAGGCCACCGTGCCCCAACTGTCGGTACAGGTCATGAGACTCATGCCAGCCACCTGCTTTGCTGGTGGAGCCTGGAACTTTGGGGTGCAGGAGACAGTGGGTGGCCCTGTGAGCGGTTCTGTTGACAGCCCTGGACACTGAGTCCCTAATGAGCTTCCAAGTCAGCAGGCCCTGATGTGTGCTGTCCAACCCCTTGCTGAGGAAGCCGGCATCTAGCACAGCTCCCCTGGGAGCAGAGTCAGCAGCTGGAAGAGCCTGGCTCTACCATGCTGCTCACCAGGCTCCCCTTTGCTGGTTTTACGCCACATCCTTTTGCTGTATGAGACCATCACTGTGAATGTGACGAACTGCTCATTGTGACAAGGGCAAATTGCTGGACCTGGCACCGGTCTTGGGGACCTCCCAACATGCCCATTCTCAAGAGGCTTTTTCCCTCAGGCTCTTGAGAACACAGACGTTTATACAAAGAGGCAGAAATTCTCCTCCATCTGTAATGAATCCCTTCCTGTATTTTGCCCCTATTATAGCCCATGCCAGGAGCACTGCATAGAACCATGAATTGTTTTCATGGGAAGAAGACTCCTGGGCACCCTGAGAATAGATCCCTTCCCTCCCATTACTTCACGCCTTTTGTGTGCTTACCTCAGGGTTGCCTGTTCATATTTCCCCCAATGAAGATGAGGACAGAGAATAAACATACCGTTCTCATATTACAACACTGCAATGTAATCATTTAATCTCTGTGCTTACAGGATTTGCACCCATCAGTGGGATGTGCAGTAAGTATCGCAGCTGCACTGTTAATGAAGATACGGGGCTGGGCCTGGCCTTCACCATCGCCCACGAGTCCGGGCACAAGTGAGTCCATCCCCATGGGAGGGAGCCCAGCGCCTTTCCTAACTGGTCACCATCGTTTAGTACGCACTAAGTCCAGCCTGCAGAGGGGATTCCAACCTCCAGCAACAGTCGTGGTTACCAAATGCTATCACAAGGTCTCTGTGTTTCTGTCTTAGGGACCTTCATGTGTTAAAGCCAGAGCAGTGCACATGTTCACACTCCCCTCTGTTGATCTTCTCAAGCATTCTGCTCACATGGTGCATAAGGTTGAGGGCGGTTGTATCTTTCTCTGTTCCTGAACCCAGTTCTGTGACTTCATCTCACTCCGCAGTTGGGTGCTTTCAGGGATCTCCAAATGGAGGAGGACGTTATATACTCTCATTGCTAACTGCTGTGGCTCTTGAGAGTTTGTGTGTAATAATTTGTAGGGATGTTGTGTTTTGATACAGGCAGGGCTTGGGGATGACAAGAGACCAGACCCAGAAGGAGCTGATTTCCTTCCTGTGCTCTGGCCCACATCAGCCCTGTTGGTTTTACAGTGAGGCAGCATCAGCTGTGACTTCAGCTCAGCCTGGAGGACCCTTTGGGGGCCCGGGGCATGTTGGGCAGGCAGCATGCAACAAGGATGGTATGTGTGTCATTGATGACATCTCTGTATAAGAAAGTCTTACCCTTGTAATCATAACATGAAGCATTTCTAGCCATTTTTGATGGAAAATTTTACTCTTAAATAAATTTTTTGGCTGATAATTCTTCATGCTGACTTAAGCTTGAGGCATTATTTTAAAAATTAAGGGTCCTGTGGCTGCCCGACCATCTGCAGACCTCCTGCCATGTGCACACAGAAGAAGTACACGTGTTTTCTTGCCATACCGACTGTACATGACATCTCTAGAATTGTGTAGAACTAGGAATCCCAATTTTTCTGTTATTTTTTACTTTCCATCTGATTTCACTGGCAACAGGAGAACAAAGGCAGTGATTGTGACCCGGGGTCTCTATCTGTTGGGAAACTAGATTGAGGTGATAGACTTGAGTCAGACAGAGCTGTTCAAAGCATGCATGTGTGACATATGTGTATTCGTGTATGTGTGTGTGTGCACATGTGTGTGTGCACGTGTGTGCTTCTGGCCACTGAATCCCACAGAGAACCTGCAGGCTTTGGCTCTGTGTGAACCATTGACCTGGAACTGAGGCTTTGTGCCCTGTTTCTGATCCCTTAGCCCTCCCAGGTAATGATTGACTATTTCATTGCTTGGAAAATTGTACCTGCACTTTATAAGGCTTTCAGCTAAATCACGATTCTAGTTTTAATAGTCTGCTAGAGTTAAAACTTCAAAAACTTCCATTATTGTAATGACATGAGGCTCTTGCTGTCCTCTGAACCATACCTGAATTTAATTAAACAATCAAGGCAAGAAATATTTCTGTTATGCAGGGCTGAGCCCCTTAGCGCTGGGTGAGCAGCGAGACGAGGCATTGGTGGTGCAGTAGACTCAGGAAAACTCAACTCAATCCATCAAAACTGGGCTTTCTATGAGTCTCAGCACCAACCAACCCAGTCAGCACTGACATTTGTCTTTCTTCAGAATCAATTATTAATCTTCCCTTTCCTCACCCAGATTGGGGCTGGATGGATAAAGAATTTCCTCCAAATAAGGAACAGATAGTTTCTCATGACTGTGGAGGGTACAGAAAGGGGCTGTACATCTTGGGGAAAGCAAGCCCCTCACCGGTAGCGCTGATCTTCAGGAGCTGTGTGATCCTCCTTGCACATCCGGTGCTCCAAGAATGTACAACAGACAGAACAGGGAGCTCTGAAGAGCTGCGTCATCTGTGCAACAGCTTCTGATCACACTGAGAAACTAGGAAATGTGGATTTAACATGTGCTGCCTTCTAAAAAAGAGTGTCTCAGTGATAGCAGTAATAGTCTGGCAATGGTAGTGGTAATAACAGTGTTACTTCTGCTGGTCCGTTTTTGCCGTACACGATGAATTCATCACAGGGAGTCAGTACCTGTGCATGACGCATCTCATCTGTGTTTTCATCCCATTCTCCTCTTCCCCCTTCCACCATCTCTTGGTCTCCTTCCTATTTGCAAAAGATCTATCTGCCGACTTCCTGTCATCTATTTTTTATTTTGCTCTTTAATTGATTTGCATTTGGGTGCACTTTTTGTAAAGCTTACAGGGCCTCTACACACAGCCTGACCTGTAGAAGCGACCTGTGGTAATCCCTTATATTACCTACCCCATCCGAGGGAGGACAGGCCAAGTGTCCAGCAGATGCGTCTGCACAGAATGGGGGTGAGTGAGCAAGGTGTGAGCGCGTGTGCAAGTGCAAAGCGAGTATTTCCAGCAAGTTTTCAGATGATAAAGGTGGGGGCACACAAGACTCAGTAACAACATTTCATAAATTTCATATTTGAATTGCATCAAAGGCCACAAGCTTGCTGGGTTCGTTTATTATTATTTCTTCAGGAAAACAGTACAGGTTCGATGCGTGGTAAGATGCCATGACTTGAGCCTTGTGCCTTTATCTTCTGCAGTGAATTTCTGGGAGAGTCAAATCTTTGATTTCTACAACTTAAGAATTAAAAAAGTAATTTTGTATCTTTTGACACTCTTATTATGAAGGACCTGTAAAATACTCGGTTTAGAAGGTGACATTTCCTTCTTGAGTTCGGATCACATGAAGACGCCACTACTGGGGGAGACTGCTTCACTGCTCCTCCTGGCCGACGAGCTGTAACATCTTCTGACCTTTGACACAGTTCGAGACTCAGGCTGATGTCCACCCAATGGCGCTCCTACAGATTTCCGTTGTTTTCATCTTAATATGTCTTATAATTCCCACTGTGGAATCTGACCCAAAGAGAGCAGTGGCCGGGAGCTGGTGTTTGGATTTGATTTGGAACCCAGAAGCTGGGCCTGGAATCGAGATGTACTTTCTCCCTGAGCAGTGTTGAACCCAGATTGCTCTGCAGCCAGCAGCTGGGGATTCCGTGGCTCACTCAGGCACTCGGCATGGACCTGTGGTTGCTCAGTGCAGGCGCTGAAGATCTGACGCTGAAACACCAAGGGCTGAGCTGTGCGTTTGGGAGAACCCACCTGACCCCATGTGACCGTTCCTACGTAAGGGAAGTCTCGCTGTGTGCTGGGCGGGGCTCTGGGACTTGGATTCCAGATGCTCCTGGGCACCACCACACCTGGCAGTGACAGGCAGCCATGCCCGATCTGAGACTGTTCTAACACAGCTTCTCCACAGCGAGCCCCTCACGCGTGTGTGGGAGCAGTGGTGTTTGAGCCTTAGGTTCCGTGAAGAGCTGCATTATCGTGTCAGAGAGCTAAGACACCATCCAAACACATTCACCGTGCTTGGAAAGACCCCTCCAAGCTGTTCCTTATCCACTCACTGGGCCCAGTTCTCATGCTGCCAGTGAGGCACAGTGTAGGGTTCTGTTGAAAGATGAGGGATCCGTGCCTTCCCAGGACCTAAGGGAGGACAGACTAGTCACACCACACATGAGATCAAGGAGTGGCGGCCACCCGGGCAAGCAGGTGAGTCTTCTGGAAGTAGTGCCACATATCCTGTGCCGTTTATGGAGTGAAAGTGAGGCTTAGGGTTAGACGAATTGCGACAGCGGGGTCCCACCGCTGCCTGCCCGCTGGTCTCCAGATTCCCATCTCACTGATGCCTGCATCTCAGCCTCCTGCCTCCCCCAGAGGATGAGCCGAGGTTCTCAGAAGCCTGGGGCAGGCTCCAGGCGTCCCAGCCCTTCGGCCACCATGCTGGAGGCACTGGCCCGTTGTGGCCTCGATGAACATCACGTTTCCGTCTCCATGCTATCCAAAGAGGCTGAAATAACTGATTCTGCCTGTGCGGTCGCCTGGCAGGGCCTCTGTCTCAGTCGCTTGCGTTCCTGGGTTCCATTCACAGCACTTGACAGAGTGTCTTGAAGGAAGAGAAGTTTATTTTGGCCTGAAGTCCTTGCATGGCTGGCTGCCTCCGAGGCAGGGTGGCACGGCACAGATTCATGGGGAGGAGAGCTGCTCGTGGAGGAGAAGCCGCTTACAGCACGGTGGACAGGAAGTGGAGAGACAAGAGGGAAGCCAGGCCAGCAGGGAGATGCCGCGGCCACCTCTTCAGACCTCCCTCCCGAGACAAGTCCACCACCCGCCCCTCTGACCCAGACCCCCTCCAGGAAGCCCGCTTCGGAGCACCCGAGGCTCTCGAGGGCCGTCTTGTCAGAAGCCAGGCCATACCGCCGTGGGAATTTTGTTACCAATCAATGAACACTCGCAGAGAGCACGCGAACTGTTCCAAAAAGTGCCATGGAAGACACTGAAAACGTCTAACTATTGACGTGATTGTCAGATCCATTACAATCCCAAACCGGCTTTACATTCACATCAGAGTCAGTGTCACTGCTGGAAAGGCTGCCCTTTCCTCCGCCAGCAGGAGCAGCGGCTGCGGGCGGTCAGTCCCGCTAGCAGGACGTGTGGGAATGCAAGGGGATTTTCAGTGCTGTAACGACTTCAAACTGCTAAAGACAAAGAAAGAGAATATAGTTATTGTTTTCTCATATTGGGTGGTAAGTATTTTAAATAAAGTGCTTTAGTGCCCAGGAATAAAAATCTATCTGGCATGTGTAAAATAAATAGCAATTGTATTTCTCAGTGACCAAATGCCAACCTTGTCCTCTGCCGGGACTGCTGTTAACCCCTGTAAAAAGAAAGCCCTGTGTGGTCTTCTTGTACTGTCGTGCTGGCGTCCTCAGCCCTGCGCTCCATGAGGAGCTGCTGGGCTGTGGCGGGTGCAGCAGGACGTGGAGGTGGACTGGAGCACTGCTGGGTGCCGGGTCCTCTGACCGTACCGGAAATCCACCCGGACAGGCTGCAGTAGCCACACTTCTAGTGGCATTTCTCAGTTTCACTTACGCACAGCCGAGTTTGAGACCTGATGCTAGAAAGAGTCCTGGAAAACACCTCCGATGGATGAAAACATGTAAACCAGGCATGCCCGGACCTGGGGCATTGTTACTTTGACCTCCTTGGACATGTGGGCAAAAATGCTGATAACTTTATGAAGGCCGATAAATGCTGATCGACAGTCATCCTCGTGAGCCCGGCCAGGCTGGGTTGGAATTCTGTTTTCACTGCGTTCTCTCCAGGGCAGCTCTCATCTGGGATTCCGGCCCGAATCCTTTTCTCAGCCATGACACATTTCCCCTGACATATGGTTGCCTTGGCGTTGATGAATGGCCTTTAATAGAACTTCAGAGCATGGGTGGAGGCTAAAATGACCACATCCACATCACCCTTGGTAGTGATCAGGAATGTTGCAGAAATTGGACAATATTTTCATGCCAGATCTCCTTGGAGACACTCTTCAATGCTACTCGGGTTCCACGCTGCTGCAGGGGACCCTCCTGGCCCTGACCCCCTAGTGTCCAGGCCCCACAGAGTGGGTCTGCAGCCCTCAGGCTTGTGATAATGGTGTTACCCCTGCCTTTCAGGGTGAAATGAGGATTAACTTAGAATTGGTCAGTTGCTCAGCACCCCGCTGTGAGTAGTGAGTGCTTTGTTATTCATTTGTGTAGTGAAGTTCAAAGGAAAGCAGGTAAGTGCAAAAATGTGTCTTCAGCCTCAGAAACAAGCAGAGATTCTCCTGTCCCTGGTGGAGCCCAGGGCCCCACGGCGTCTTCCTGGCCCTCCTGCTGCCCTCCTACTCCTTAGGGACTCTGGGCAGCAGAAGGCCTCATCTAGGGGGCCTCACCTTGTGTTCCCCTCTGACTTTCCCCTTCCTCTCTGTCTCCTGCACTGTGGAATCTGCTCTCCTGAAATTCCTGGGTATCAAGGGTCAGTGGGGGGGTGGTCCCCAGGGACTCATTGACCTTAGTGGAAGTCTCAGGGCTACGCAGGACCCTCATGTCTTATGGGCTTTCCTGCCAAGGCAGCATGCTTGCTCCCCCAGGAGAGCCCAGGACGGCAGTGCGGCTCTCCTGCAGACACAGCTTTAGGAGTTAAGTAGCTTCGGAGAAAGGGGTGGCAGCCAAGTCCCTGTGCGCCTGCAGTCGCTGAGCTGCAGTCTGCACCAGTGCAGGAAGGGGGTGTGATGGGAATCATGGGATGCAGGAGTCTCTAGCAACCCAGAGTAAAGGTACCCGAGCTACCTGGCTTGGGATGTTCCATGCTGAGCAGGGGCCGGTTCACACTCAAGAACAGGCACAGCCTCAAACAGCACCCAGAGATGGACCCAGCCTTGCTAACCCATCCGGCTGCTGTGAAGGTGCTCCCTCCAGAGGGGTAGAGGAATTCAGGGTAAGAGGTAACAGGGCATCCAGCTGTCACAGCTGCAGCCCTGCAGATCTAGCAGGAGGAGGAGGAGCAGCACAGGGTCTGTGTGCAGCCCAGGTGCAGGAGGCGGGCACCACTTCTCCAGAGGAGCCGAGCATCAGCCTCACGTGGGGAGCTGATAGGAGAAGTCTGGACCTCTGCTCTGAGCCAACAGTTCCCACCTGGGACCCCGACTTCCGAAGTTCTAACAAGTATTCTGGGAAGCTCTGGCAGTCTCTTGAGCAGAGGAAGAGGCGCGGTGCACGTTAGTTTCACCCATTGTGCCCCTCGGCTTGGCACCCGGGTCCACTGCCAGACCTCTCCGTGAATGGCCCACACCCGGGGGCCCCGCAGCATCCTCAGTGGTTCGCCTGCCTTGCATCAAAGGCCGTGGGCGTCCCTGCAGTCGGGACTCATACCTGGGAGACCGCCTGCCCAGTGCTTTCAGCTCCCCTCCGCTCTGCAATGACCAGCTCTCCTGCTCTCTATCCACCTCTCTCTCTCCTATAGCTTTGGCATGGTCCACGATGGAGAAGGGAACATGTGCAAAAAATCAGAGGGCAACATCATGTCCCCTACACTGGCAGGACGCAACGGGGTCTTCTCCTGGTCGCCCTGCAGCCGTCAGTATCTGCACAAATTTTTAAGGTACGCAGTCCTTCGGCTGGCCGCACGGTCCCTCAGCGCCTCTCAGGCACTAACCGCTGACCTCCTTTGGGGTGCACGGCCTGGGTGTGCTTCTCACGGGGGGCTCCTCCAAAGGTGTCTTGAGGCGTCCGTGTGTCTAAGGGGTTCACTAAAGTTAGGGAGGCCTCCTGCCTGATGCTGACCCTGTAGACTCAACAGAAGCCCTCCAAGACCTTAGTAAATTAAGTGTTTGTCACTTACTTTCATTTTTGTTTAAATTTCTCACTTTTATACCAAGGAATCTCTGGGCAGTTCAAAGGAAAGGAAGACCTAGTGTGTACATTTCTGTGTACATAATGTGCAAGCAGAACTAACCTCTTTTTCTCTTTTTTTGTTAAAATACATTTCATATTTGGTGGGAAAGCTTGAGTATATAAATCTTGCCCCTGGCTCTAACTCATTTCATTTTAAGAAATTTTTTCAGAAAGTGTCACTACAACACTAATTCATTTGGGGCCTACAGTACTGGGGAGGTAGGCTTTGACAATTGACAAAGAAGTAGTCTGCAGATTTTAATTTTGGGGAAAGAAGGGACTTTAAGAGCTCTCTTTAGGTCTCCTGGTGAGGTAGGTAGGCTGTGTAAAAACATGAAACCAGACTTCATCTGGGACACACAGCCTGTTCTGTGTGCCATGCAGACCAGGGAGGCCCATCCAGGAGCCACAGGCTGAGCAGGAGGCGCAGCAGGGTCCTGCAGGAGGCTCGGAGAGCGGCCCGATGTCGGGACAGAGGAGGATCATCCAGCCCGAGCTCCAGAACTAGCCTGCAGCTGTCTGCGCTGCATTATCCTTCCCAGGTCCTGGCCCATTGATGGCATGACTGAGCAGAACCCAAGCCCCCGACCTGAGAACCGGCCTGTCTTACTGATCCCCAAGAATGGGGGCACAGCCAGCATCCCCACAAATTTGTCTTCTCCCAAAATTAAAATTTTCAAGAAAGCCTCTCATCAAACTTGCTGTTAAGGTTTCTTTTGCTTGAAACCCGGTGGTGAACTGCATGCCCCCCGGAGTGAGATGAACCTTAGCTCCTCAAGGATAAGTCAGCTGAAACTGCCTTGGGTGACATGTTTGCTGGCTTCCTGACTTCCAGGACACCGAAATGCTGTTCTATCCTCCACCAGTTAAGCAGCCATTGGATAGGATCCCAACAGTGAGTAAGGAGAGAGCGCAAAGCATGAGCTGTAAAAGCCAAGCCTGCTCGCCTTTGGTAGGCAGAAAACTTTGCATGTGAAGGAACTCAGGTGGCCTGAAATTGTCGTGACAACTTTTCTCCTTGGTGGTGGCACCATGGAGGACAGATGGCATGTGGAGACACTCATCAGCCCAGGCAGCAAGGCCGTGTGTCACCTCCTATTAGCGAACACGTACCTCTCAGTTGCTCATGTCTGCGCCTGGGAGGTCTGTGATGTAGGGAAACTTTAGCTCATTATTTTACATTTCATGACACCATGGACTCATCTTCGGAAATTGGAGTCACGCCATACAGATCAGTGAGCAGGCCTCCCTCTGAGCACACACATCCACATGCTTCACCCCAGGGAGCTGGGTGCCCTGCCACACCCTGCACCTCTTCTGACTCTGAGAAAGTGAGGTAGCAGGGAGAAGGCAGAGGGCGGAGGGCTGGCGTGCTGACCGAGGTCACAGCACTCACCTCTGGGCAGGCACTGGCTTTGCAACGAACCTCATCTCTCCTGGGGCCCCGTTTTCCTACTTGGAAAATGAAGGGGAGCGACTAAAGGATGTTGCAAACCCCTTACCATTGTATGGGCCCATTCATGACTCAGTGGGAAGGAGTTCTGAAGTGTTGTTGTGGTGTTTCTGGCCTGGCCTTATTAATAGCTTTGGTTAGCGTTATTTTTGTTGTGGAACAAGACACGTAGAGGAAAGCGGAGAGGGATAAGGGCCTCTCATGGTGAACATGGTAGCGTGACTCTGCCCAGGCAGGACACAGAGCCGGCGAGCACCCGGATGCCACCTGCCTCCTCTCCATGCTCACCACGTGCCCAACACGGCTCACCGTGGTTGGTTCAGTTGGCTTTTTAACTTTCGGTGTTGGGAGTCATGAGTTACTGTCTGTTGAGCGTGAGATTCTTCCTCTCTACCACACTGAAGTGTAGCATTATTTCCTACAGGAAACTGTTCATCTGTGCCCCCTTGGTCATAGACATTGAGCTTCCAGTGTCTGGCTGTTGAAGGGAGGGTGCAGTGAGGCCCCTCTACCCTCACTACATGTCCCTGAGATCAGGGGAGTAGTGTTAGGGTCCTCAGTGTGAATGTGCAGCTTCGGTGGTGACTGCTGGGTATCTGTGCACAGCTACACACCCAGAGGCCTTCGTGAGCATTCACACGGCTCCAGACCTGGTGTACGTCAGGTGACTCGTCTGTTCACAGGCCGTGCCTTGCTAACACTGAAGCCTGTCTTCCTCTTATCTCTTCATGGATTACTTACACACCCTGAATATGAATCTTTGCAGTCATTTTGGAATATGTGTCATTTCTAAGTGACTTTCTGTTTTCACTTTTAATGGCATAATTTGATAAACAGGCATTTTTTATGAAGTCTGACTTATCCACATTTTTCCTTTAGAGTTGCTGCTTTTCTGTGTACTGCTGGGGAAAAAGCCTCAGTTTATTCCAAAGTCATAAATACATTCTTCCACATAATCTCTCTCCTAAAAGCCTCTCTGTTTTGTTTATCAAATGTGGACAGCTTCATTTTCTTCCGTAGGGCATGTGGAACAATGTCAAAATCTATTTTGTCCCTATGGGTCTTGCCGTAGATGGTCTGCAAATGGCTGCCATGATAATCCTTTTGGTAGCATGTCTTTGTTTTTCCATTTCACACTTCCCTCAGGAATGCCTGAGAATCCCCATGGCTTCACACCCTCATTAACTTTTGATGTTGTCAATATTTTGGATTTTAGCTATTGCAGTCCTTGTGTAGTGGTCCTCAGTGATAAATTATTTGTAATTCGCTAATCCATATGATGCTGAGCATCCTTGTCCATACTTATTTGTCATCTGTATATATTTTTAAGAAAGTGTCTGCTTTTTTGGTGATCTTTTTTGGTTGGGCTGTTTTCCTATTAAAGTTTAAGTGTTACTGGTGCATTTTGTATAACAGCCCTTGATTGGAGATATCTTTTGCAGATACTTCCTCTCCTCCTTAGCTTGTCTTCTCATTTTCTTGACAATGTCTTTCAGAAACCACAGGCTTTCAATTTTAATGAAAGTTACCGTATCAGTGATTTTTTCCCTAGATTGTTGAATCTACAGTTTTTGCAAGTCCCAAGATCACCTAGATTTTTTTCTATGATATTTTGTTAATATATCTTACATTTAGATCAGTGATCAATTCTGAGCTGAATTTTGTGAAAGGTTTAAGGTCTAGTTTCTTGTAGGATTGTAGTTTTTCATTATATATTAAGGTTAAAGAATAGATTTTTAGTTAATTTTTTTGTATAGTGTAAAGTATGGATCAAAGTTCTATTTTTAAGGTAGTCCAATATTTTCAGTTGCATTTAATGAAAAGTTCAGACTTTCATTAGAGTCAATTAAATTTATAACTTTGTGAAAAACAAATAATGACCATGTAGAGCTAGTCTATTTCTGGAATCCCTGTTCTGTTTTATTGATCTATGTGTATATCCTTTTGCTAGAGTAACCATAGATTTATAGTTAATCTTGAAATCAGTAATGTGAACCCTGTAATGTGCCTGCAATGCCTCAGGATTCTTTTTTAGCATGTAGATGTCTAGTTGTCCGGTACTATTTGTGCAAAAGGCCGTCTTTTCTTCTCTCTAGGGCCTTTGCTGTCTTGTGGTGGACCAGTGAACTGTATTTGTGGGTCTAGCATTGAGCCTTCCGATCTTTTGCATTGATCTCATTCTCTTCTTTAACCAGTACTCCATTGTCTCGGTTACTGTAACTTTACAGCAAGTCTTGAAGTTGAGTAGTATCAATCATTGAACTTTATTTTTCTCCTTCAATTTTGTATGGATTGTTTTGGATCTTTTGCCTCTCATACAGATTTAGAATCGGTTTGTATATCCACAGAATGACTTGCTTGAATTTGGGCTGGGACTGTATTGATTCTGTAAGTCTAAATGGGAGGAGCAGACTTCTTCACGGCACCAAGTCTTCCTGTCCATGGACATGGACTGGCTCTCATTTACTTAGTTCTTTGACTTTTTTTCAAAGTTTTGTGGTTTTTCTCTAAAGGTCCCATGTAAATATTTTTCTACATTTATATCTATGTGTTTTACTTGGGGAGTGCTATCACAAATGATATTTTTTTTACACTCCAGATAGATTGCATTTTTTCATTGCTCTTATATTGAAAAGCCATTGACTCTTGCATATTACCTTTCCTTCCCTCCAGCGTTGCTCTAATTGCCTACTAGGTCCAGGCGTCTTTTGCTCATTCTCCGAAATTGTCTATATGGATAACCATGTCATTTACAAACAGAGAGACTTATTTCATCCTTTCTATCTGTGTGACTTTTCTTTTCCTGCCTCATCTTGTTGCATTAGCTTGGCCTTACAGGAAGTGTTGAAGTGGCAGGAGGCGTAGCCTGTCTTCATTCTTAGTCATAGCAGGAAAGCTTCATGCTTTCACCATTAATCGTGATTTTAGCAGTAGGTTTTCATAGATGTTATTTATCAGCATAAGGAGGTTCCCCTTTATTCCTAGTTTGCTGGGAATAGGTGCGGGATCTTGACAATGCTTTTTCCTGCACTGTTTGATATAACCACGTGACTTTTCACCTTTAGTGACTTGATGAAATGGATTGGATTGACATTTCAGTGTTGAACCAGCCTTGCATCCATAGAATTGGTCACACTTGTTTATAGCATATGATTCATTTTATGTATTGTTAGATTCAATTTACTGGTATTTTTGTTGAAGACATTTTGCATTTGTTCATGAGAAAATATCAATCTTTGATTTTCTTATAGCCTTTTCTGCTTTTGTTATTAGTTTAATGCTGATTTCATAGGTTATGTTAGGATGTTTGGCCTCTACTTGCATCTTCTGGAAGATTCTTGTAGACAATTGGTGTGATTGTTTTCCTTAAATGTTTGGTAGAGTTTATAGGGCTTCATCTGAGCAATTTGCTATTTTTTGTGCACAGACTCCTGAGCTCCCAGGCAGTGAACTCTGGGACACAGTCCTGGAGACTGAAGCCAGAGATTTCCTATTCAAGGTGGATAACCACTTACAGCAGTTTGGGGATGATCTGCCATTGTTCAATTTATTATAATTATAGGTTTTAAGTTTTAAGGGAGTTGGGGGGATGCTGAAATTTATAGGTGGGATTTAATAGCTATTTGCAAACACAGAAAATGTATATATTCTCCCCAAAATGCGCAGATGATACCAAAAGTATCTGATGGTGAAAGGAATGTTCCATTTCTGTACAATAATCATTACTTGTTCATTAGCCTCCTGTTAGCAAACTTCAGTGAGTTAGTTACATTCCTTCTGGACCTGGGATCTAGTCAGAAATCGAGCTAAGTATAGATAATTGATGATGGGAACCTAGTGTCCTTGAAGGTCTTCTGGAAGCTGTAAAGTATGCTGTAGACACTCCCCAACCTAGAACAAAGGGAAGGAAGAGAAGAGGAGGCTAAGGAACAAAGGGAGAAGGAGGAAGGAAGGAACCCAGGAGGAAGAAGAGAGGAGGGAGGTAGGAAAGGCAGAAAGGAGGGGGAGCGGAAAAGAGGGAGAAAGGGAGAAAGGAAAGTAGTAGTTTTGGTCTTTGAGACAGTGTGATTACATTTTGATTGTTACAATTCCCAGTTCCATCTTGCTAGAAAAATCTGTAAAAGGTGTCTGTGATAGCAACCTCTCATATTGAACATCTGGTTGTAATTATTTGGTTTTGTTTTTCCGCATAATATTGTATGAAGAACAAATCATCTTCTTGGAAAAGGCAAAATATGTTATAGACAGTTTCAAAAAAATGTGGCCCTTGTGCTTAAATATAATTAAGCTAAATGTTAAGTTGGACTTCAGGAGAAAATTTTCCCTTCTTTTTCTAAAAGCCATATTGTGAAGTTGTACTAAAAAGAGAGGCACAACTGATTGACATCTTCGGGGAGCCTCTGGGCCATCACTAGCATCAGCATCTCCTCTGTTTCAGCACTGCCCAAGCCACATGTCTTGCTGACCAGCCGAAGCCCGTGAAGGAGTACAAGTACCCGGAGAAGCTGCCGGGAGAGTTGTATGATGCAAACACACAGTGCAAGTGGCAGTTTGGAGAGAAAGCCAAGCTCTGCATGCTGGACTTTAAAAAGGCAAGTGATTATTGGCAAAGGTTCAGTGCAATATGATTCATAAAATCGTTTTATTTAGTGCAACTGACATTGATGTATTCTGAAATTATTGGTTGCCTACCAAATTCAGATCCTGTATGTGAGGGCTGGTCCCATGTAATAGGAAACACATGTCTTTCTGGCAGAGAACATGATGGTAGATACTGCTGTGGGTATCAGTTTTCTTTTGAGAGCTGACTTGGCCTGTTAGATCAGACCTTTCTTCCTGATTTATCACATGGGGGCCCAGCAATACTTTCAATCAGTATAAGTTTTCAAATTAATACTCTGCATGTTTTTCAAATAGCATTAAGAAAACATAAGCATAATTCACTGTATTAGATAGCAGCAGCCTATCTGGGGCTTCTGATTATTAAATTCCCCAACATAGTATTTATAGCATGGTTTCTGTAGAAGGTGGAATCTAAGTGCATCAGCCTCAGGGACAGTGTCCCATGACCCCGTCCGGGTGATTTTCTGCATAAATGGACACATGTTCTCCTGCTGAACTGGGAAATTAGAGATTTAGAAATTGCTCTGCTAAACCACAAGGAAAGCTACTCATAAATCAAATGCAAGTAACTAGTTTTGAGGTTTCTTTTATTCTACTTTATCGTGAAGTTAAATATAAATAGACAAAAAGTATATACATGTAGTCTTCCAGAAACCCCCAGCATTGCCGAACATGCTGGGACCGCTCCCAACAGACCCAGCGGGGTTGTCTTCTTACTTCTAAACTCAAGTGGGTCTCACGGAAGATTGGACCAGGCCCTGTGACAGTAGCAGTTCTCGTCTCTGTGGCTGGGTGATCTACACATGGAACCGGGATGTGAAATCAGCCTGGCACCTGTGTGTTTTCTTGCCGTTGTGCCTTTTGTGAGCAGAAGATACAAATTCCCTGAGAATGTGTTACTCAGGGGTTACTCGTGTGTTTGTTAAGGTAAAGGGGTGTACAACTGGTGTGTTCTTTTAACAATGGAATGTTCTGGATTGTATAATCTGGTCTCCAGATTACTTTACTTTGTGTCCTTATCATTCATGGTATTGTAATGTCATTTAGAGAATATAGGCAATAAGTCAATTCAGGATGTTTTTAATTACTGAAGAAATATTTTCATGCAGTGAAATATATTTGTGTGATGTACAAAATTTAAATTTTGACAAACATGCACCCATCACCAGCATTTCATTGAAGAGGTAGCTTATTTCTACAAAGTCATGGACACATGGGTGTGAATTCTGCAGCGATCAGAGTATTCCAGAAACACCTATTTTTTTAAATGCAATCTTCCCTACATCCTCTGTATCCTCTGTGATGCTCACTGCCTGTCTCATAACTTCCACAGAGGTGCGGGTTAAAATCTCCTGCATAGTTTCTGTTTCTCCCTTTGCTTCTCCTAGTTCTGTTTTGTGCTTCTGAACCTCCATATATGGGTGCACACATTTTGGGGTTATTATGTCTTCCTGGCTCTTTTATTATTACAAAATACTTTTAGTCATGTTATATTTCTCAAATCCTGTTTTACCTCATATGAACACAGCCAGATCATATTTTATTAATGAGTATTATGTGCATGTGTATTTTCAATCCTCTTGTCAATTTATTTGTTTAAAATGTGTGTGACATAACCATTCATTTTGTGTTACTTTTCTGTTCAACTGAACAACATCTGAACTTTTAGAAGAATATTTAATCATTTTATATTTAATGTAATTAAATATATTGGTATGATAGAGTTAAACATATCGTTTTTCTATTTGTTTTCTGTTTCATTTCTTTGTTCATGTTTCCTGTTTACTTCCGTCTTTTGAATTAAATTATTTGTCAGAATTCTATTCTTAAACTGTACTTGCTTTTTAGCTTGACTGTTTAATGCTCCTTTTTAGTTGCCCCAGAAATCACTACATCATCCTTAATTGAAGTCTGTAAAATCAGCGTTTTACCACCTTGTGTTCAGTGCAAGATCCTTAAGACAGATACTCCGTGTGTCGCTTCTGTACCTCATGCTGCCATCGTCCTATGTTTTATCCCCGTGCATTTTAAAAGCCACGTGTTGCAAGAGTTTCTGTTTTAAATTTTTGCTTTTGGAAATAAGATCTCTTTCTACTTCCCATACATTTATCATTTAATATTTATGCTTTCCTATAGATTCCAGTTTCAAGATAACTTTTTACCATGGCCTTAATAACTTCTCAAGCATCTTTGCTGCATGTATCTGTTTGCCACAAGTTATTTCAAGTTGAATTTTTTTAAACCAGAAAATGTAATTAATTTACTCTAGGTTTTGAAGATTATTTTTGCTGGAATTATAAGCAGTCTTTGTTGTTTTTTGGTTTTTGGTTCTGTTTCTTGTTTTGTTTTGGTTTGGTTTTGGTTTTTGGGGGGTTATTTGTTTGTTTGTTTGTTTTTGTTTTTTTGTACCAGGGATCGAACTCGGGACCTTGCACTTACGAGGCAGGCGCCAGAACCACTGAGCTAAATCCCTGGCCCTCTTTATTCTTTTATATACTTGAACAACATAGCTCAGTTTTTTCTAGACAATTATTGCCAAGAAAGAAGTTGGTCATATTTTTATCTTCCCTCTACCATTTCCAATCAGGTTTTAGGTAACTCAATGGAATACACGTATAGGTCATTAATTTCCAATTGCAGAATTGCATTTGGCTTTATATTTCTCTTCTGACATTTCTCCTTCTTTTATTTTGTCCACTCTGTGCCTGTTCTGTCTTGAATATATTTATAAGGCACTACTTCAGAATAAATGTCTACATCATCGAGATAGACGCATCATGGGACGAGTTGTCTGACTCCCCGTTACCCCTCCTCTAGTCTCAGCTTCCCTCTGCGGGGCGCAGGCGCAATGTGTGCCTCCCCCTGTGGTCCTGGCGAGGTGCCTGCGCTCAGGGTGCTCCTGAGGCCTCAGCTGTGTCCCAGAATCCCCGTTCTGCCTCTGCTCCTCTGCGGGCCTTCGTGGAGCCGCAGCCTGTGCTGTCAGCGGTTCCTTTTAGACAAGGACGTGCAGAAAACCTCAGCGCAGGTGTCTGAGCTTCCACTGGTGCTGGTCCTGAGCCTGCATACTCAGGTGACCAGACTTCGCTTAGCATCTCTACCCGGATACCGGACGGGAGCCCGCTGGGGTCAACCTGACCCCACCCCAGCAGGTCTGTCCGCTCCGGGCACGTGGGGGTGGGGGCCTCAGCCTGTGCCTTCCCTTCTTCAGTGCCTTGCCTCCCTCGCTGTGCTGCCCATTATCAAAGGCCTGACATATTCGGTGCATGTAATTTTTCCATATCGCTTTATAGATTGGGAAAGATTTTTGTTTATATTTTCATGTTTTTATTTTTGTTTTGCAGGAAATAAGTTTGGTAATAGGTCCTTACCATGGTCAGTAGGGGAAATACCTTTTGAAATAGACTCTCAGCCCTTTGTATTTGCAGTTTGACATCCGTACATCCAACCACCTGCTGATAGAAAATATTTGGGGAAAGTGGCCTTGCTACTGACCATGTACCAATTTTTTTTCTTTATTGTTCATTAAGTAATATAGTGTGATGATTATTTATTTAGCATTTGCAGTGTATTGGATATTATGAGTACAATGGCACCTGGCTTCATGAACTTAATTCTGTCAGTGATTCTGTTTGCAAACTGAATTGGACAAGAACTGAATTAAATTTCCCCATCAGGTCAACACTGAATCTGACCCTTGAATTTGAATTAGGCCACCTGCTCGGTTCATCAGCTTTTTTCTTATCTTAATTGCTTTCTGCAGTGAAGCATTAGCTCTTTTCAGCCAGGATTAACCAAAAAGCTTACTGAGGCCTTTACCCGATTATCTCCCTGCCAGTCTTTCTGTCCCCTTTCCCTACACTATATATTTTCTTTTTCCATATTAATTTCTATTTCCACGGCCAGAATCTCCAATATTCCAAATCCCCAAATCAGACACAGCGTGGCAGGTGGAGATTCTTCATTGAGATATCTCAGAACCCTGTGAATTTTTAAAAAATTAATTATTGAAAGTAAGTCCTGCTGATATTACTTTAAAAGGTGTATATTTTTGTAATGACCAGAAAGTTTTCCAAAAGAAATAATATAAAACAATCAACAACCAGCAAATTATGCAATGTCCAAGCTAATTTCTGGTGCATTAAAGCAGCTCAGTAGAACTTTGTTGGCCTGGGGCGAGATGGATGGATGTGTTATAGTGAGGAATGGCCCTCCCTTAAATACCTTATGATACAACACATAATACAGATGCATGTGTGTCCTGCTCTTGCATAAATGAACGTATCTTTGGCGTGTGTGTGTGTGTGTGTGTGTGTGCGCGTACATTCTCGAGTATGACTTCATACACAGACCTTGACTGCAGTTTTCTTTGTCCATTGATGTACAGTGATCAAAGCATCCTATTGGGTGAAATATAAACAGGAACAATTCACTGCATATCTGACTATGACATCATTTGCAGTTACCTTCTCCGTTCCTATTTTTGAAGGGTCCAGTGCAGACAGACAAGTGGACAGCACATTCTTCCCAAAGACGAAGCGCCCTGGTGTATTTCTGACTGGGTCATCGGGGTGTTGGTTTCATCTGAGCTCATGGATTGATGTTCAGCCTAACTCAATCAGTTTTACTGAAATTGGTCTCTTTAAGCGAAACTCTTATTAAACTACGACACACATGGCGGAGAGCTCTTGCTTACGCTGGCATTCCTCAGCTGTGAAGACAAAAGCCGACCACATGCTCTGCATAGGGTTTGGCTTCTTTCCATCAAGTGAAGCGTTAATTACTGCAAACGTTGCGTCTTTATTGAGTACAGTTGTGATCCATCAACGTTGCTTGGTGGCCTGACCCTGAAGTCAGATATATAAGCAACCAGAATGACTTTGAAATGTGATCTCCTCCTTCTCCTGGGTCTTGTTGCTCAGCTGAGAGCTCCGCCCACACCCAGTGACTCTCCCATTCCCTGCTCCCTGACTCAGAATCAGGAGCCATTAGAATGCTTGCTCCAGAGCCACTCTGAAGTTTTGCTAGGGACACCGTGAAATAAAGCAGTGACGGTTTAAGACCAGCACTGCACATTATGTCCAGAAGTCAGGAGGTGAGCTGAAGCTTGGTGGAAGTGAAATGCTTAATTTCATTTTGTCATCTAACTCGTAAGACATGAGAGTCTGTGTCGTGTGGTTCAGGACGAGGGCCATGTTTTCACGGCAGGGGTTTATATCCACAGGGTGTCAAGGGTCTCAGGTGCTGTTTGATCTGTTCAAAAACACTTGCATGGATTGTATGGTGTTTCAGGTTCCTCCAGCTGTAAGATTTGTTCCTGTCTGGAGGACTGGAACTGAGGATTGAACAGGTGCCAAGACAATCCTGAAAGCACAGGTGTCCTGAGCCAGGGCACAGATGAATTAGGGCCCTCATGCTGTGGGGTGAGCTCCTGCCAGCATCCTCAACTTGAGGGATTTGTGTTTAGAAAAACTGGAAGCCACAGCCCGTGAAATCGTCTTTCTATATTTCTTTATTCTACGCAGTGCTCCTGCAAACTGAAACGTTAAGACGAATCTGAAATGTCTCTGATGGTAGCCTGAACCCCACCCACCGGTGCTTTCCTGAGTCACCTCAGACATCTGTTTGAGATCACCGGCTATGAATTGCTGTTAACTTCATCACAGTTCTGACCCTGACACTGCTTTGTGCAGAAACTACTATATGTTCTATTTGTTTGCGAGGCAGTTAGGTGTCAACCATGGTGGCAGATTCTGACGCTACGTATAGTAAACAGCTCACCCAGTGAAGCACCCTCTGCATTATTTGTCCTGCATAGTCTAAGAAAGAGCCTGGAGCATCTGTATTCCGTCTCCCCAAGGTCACAGCGTCCAGAGTGGAGCAGGATCACAGGCTGAGACCTGGGACTGAGCCCGAATCTCCTCCAGCCTTGAAGAGAGAGAAGAGTGGTCTGGCGCTGAACCTGGCACGCTACCCTCATTCATTCATCCATCGCTCGTATAAGCACACCCAGCTTCCTGGGCCAATAGGTCAGCGTCACACCCATCCCCAGGACTCCACGAGCCACCGTTCAAGGGCAAGAATCCTGGCCCCAGCTCCTCCCAGGTTCCTGGTCCCCCACCCTCCATACTGTCACCCAGATATTGAACCTTGGCCCGCTAGCTCCAGGCCCAAGGAGGCCCTGGTATTCTCTCAAGCTGTCATCCCTGCAAGCGAATAGAGCTGTCCAGGCATCTTTTCGGAGATCTGCAGAGAATCAGGCTCCCGTTTGTATAGATTCCTCTTCTAGACCTCAAAACATCTTTCTGGCCATGAACCGAGGCCCTGCACAGCCAGCTCAGGAGCTGGGAAACCTCAGCCGCAGTCGCTCTATTCCCTGCCCCAAAGTTGTGAGGCAAGCAGAGCTCACACGTGACAGACACACTGATCCTGGTGATAGACACACAAGAAAACAGACTTAATGGCACAGTGACTGCAACCACTTGAGAGTTTATGAATAGCTCAGAATAGAAGCAATTAATATCAGAGTTACACCACTGTAAGTTTGCTTGAATATTCTAAGTTCCCAAAAGCTTATTTATTAGTGAGGAAAACACAAACAGGAAAAATGGGAGGCTGGGTCTGTAGTTCATAATTAATGAATTTTTAAATATACAGCAGGTAATTAGGTTTGGGAGGAGATTGAGAAATTGGCTTTATGAAGGTAAAATTAAGGTGGATTATTAAAAATGAAACCTTTTGGGAGATGGCTTGCACAAAAGACCCCCTTGACATTTGAGACAGGGTCTCACGGTGTAGCTCAGGCTGGCCTGGAGCTCACTGTGCCACCTAGGCTGGCCTGTAACTCAGGATCCTGCTGCCTCAGCCTCCTGAGTGCTGGGATCGCAGCTGTGTACCTGCTCACCTGGCTGGAAGACTTCCTTCCTCTTAACACCACTGAAATCGAGAATGAGGCTGCAGTGCTGTCTTTGAAGCAGAGCTGTGTTGCCTCACTGCAGTACATTTTCTCTACAATGCAAACCACCCAGCAGCCTTTAAATTTCTTGGGAAATAGTGCAGCATTGATTAAATATTCAGCACAGTTGTGCACATGGTTTAGGAAAAGTTTTCATCATTCCCAACCAAAGCTACCGCCAGCATTCCACAAGGGTCATCAGGCCCAGGTGCAGACTTGAGCAGGTCACTAAGCGGTAATGAAAGTCAACACAGTTCCTTCAACCTTGAGAGCCTTTGTAGTTTATCAGGCCCTGTCCTTGCTTTAGTTTCCTGCCAGACGAGCCCTGGGGGCTTCCTTTGCACACACTCTTCATTCTTGAAACCTCAATCACTCATCCTTCTCCATGGCTGAGATCACCCCCTTTCAGCACAACAAATACCTCTGCTCAAGAGCTGCCTTGGGCATCACTGCTCCTGTGACCCCTTTCTGAGTGCTCCAGGCAAAGCACTTTCTCCCTTGGCAAGCTCACCCTGCACCCTGTTCTGTTCCATCAGGCAGCTCTCTCCATGAACACTGTATAGTGCTCTGAAGCAAGTTCCCTTAAGGAGTCCGTCCATAAGGCCACTCAAGAGTGCAGGGCAGGTCATATTCATGATGGAGCCTGTTCTCTTGCAAGATGTCTGCATGTTTTTTAAGTTTTCATCAAAGGTTCTGGCATGGTGGATGGATGGATGGATGGATGGACGGATGGATGATGGATCAATGGATGGATGGATGGGTAAATGGAAAGACAAATGGGTAGAAGGAGGGATAGAAGAATGAATGGAGAGATGAATGATGGGTGAGTGAACCAACAATGTCCTAATCATTTTTCTTTAAACATTAAGATTCAGACTTGGAGAGTTTAGTAGAAGGTAAGGTTGAAAATCACAACATATAAAATGTTTAGTTGGATTTTCTCAAATTTATAGTTTTCCACAATGTTTGGGTTAAGCATATCTTACTTTTTAAATTAGAAAATTAATGTTAAATTCATGAAGAGTAAATATAAGTACAGTTGTAAGGATGAGTTAAACTGAACCAAGTCTAGGACCAAGTCTTCCAGTTCCTGTCTCCCATGTGCACCTACTGCTTTCAGTTTTTATCAGCTTCTCTGCCCTGAACTTCCATTGCTATTTATTGTAGGTACGTGGCTCACGGCAACACTGATGAGCTTTTTCCCCATTAGGACATCTGCAAAGCCCTGTGGTGCCATCGGGTCGGAAGAAAGTGTGAGACGAAGTTCATGCCGGCGGCAGAGGGCACCCTGTGCGGGCAGGACATGGTAAGAAGCGACTGCTGGGTGCAGCACTGCGCCCAGACTCAGTCCTTCAGAGCACGTGACGGTGCTTCCTGGGGTTTTTACCCGGGATTTCGCGTGTGTCTGTGCACACAGCTGTTTTGTCACCCATGGCAGAGCACAGTCTTCACCTCATATTGGTACTGGCTGTCCCTTTGGTGGGAACATGATTGATCGGTGATCTGGAGTCCACAGATACAAAAGTGAGGCCATGGATGGTGAGTGCTCCTGTTTGGTAAGAAGGCAGATTAAACCATTAGCCTAACTGACAAGTGACACAGGCCAGCATTAGTGCTGCTTGGGTCTCCAAGGATCCCTCTGGAGAGCTGGCATGAGACTGTTTTGACCGTGGCTGCCCCTGTGAAAAGGGACAGAACTGTGTTAGGAGAAAAGAAGACATATGTAAGATAGCAAGTTCTTTGCTTGTTAGTTTTTTGTTTTATTTTGCTTTGCAGTCTGGGGCTTGAACCCAGCGCCTTTGCCCTAAGCTAGATCCCTGGTACGTTTTTAATTTTTATTTTGAGACAGGTACACTAAAGTACCCAGACTGGGTTTCACAGTTATCACCCTCCTGCCTCAGCTTCCCAGAGTGCTGGGATTACAGCAGTGTGCCACCATGCTCAGCTCGCAGGGCACATTCATTAGCAACTGGTACAGGGTGGCAACTTTGTTATCACGGTCTAAGAACATCAGGGCTGAGGAGTGTGGCTCAGTGGTAGAGCACTTGCCTAGCATGCACAAAGCCCTGGGTTCCGTCCCCAGCACTCAAAGAAAGAATGAATTAGCTTATTGTGTAAGAGTAACATTGTTAATCCACTAGATGTAACCAGGGCCACATTGCTATTTCTATTTAGAATGTAAAAATGATTGATGAATATAGAAATGTAGTGGACTCAAAATATCATGGCAGTCATTTTCAGTTTTTATTCTATGGTCCCTCTAGCAATACCAGCAACTGTGAAAACAAGTCTATGAATGGATCGCTGTGCTCTGCCATATTTAAATTTCAAATTATGCCACATCCTAAACATGTACATGTGACTGCAGACAGATGCCTTTCCAGCGTTTCCAACACGGCCAAGGTGCCGCTCAAGTTGAAGTGCCCTTCGGTGCCCAAGGAAGTGTGGGACACAGCAGGCCTTCCCTTCCTGTACCAGCACCAGAGCTGAGATTGATAATTAGATTCTTCTAGCAGTGTAGGCAGCTGTAGTTCAATTAACCTATCAAAATTGTTGTTAGCTTTTTGAAGGAGAAAAAGTACACAGTGGGGTGCGCAACATGAAATTCTGATCGTCAGGATGTCGGGCGGCGTCCTGACTGCCACTCACCCTTCCAGGCTATGCTGTGCACCGTCTCCTGTTTCTGGGCAGGCCCCAGCGGGCCTGGCCCCCGTGTTCTTCCTCGGGTGCCTTTTGTTTTCCTCGAGCTGTCTCTGCCATGCTCTCACAGGGCGGTCCTCGGGTTCTGGTTGTAGTTTACCTTGAAAGCACTGTTGAGCTGAGTTTTGGTAGTTCTTGACACTGTCTTCCCTTACAGTGAGACCTCTTTCTTTCCTCTGCATTCAGAAGACTGGAGCCCTGGGTGGAAGGGGCTGCCAGTGGGCAGCTTCACGGCACCCTCCACTCCATGCTTGTATGTTTTGTGTGTCACTGTGCACTTGTGTGTGGGAAACTGGTCCACCTGGATGCATTAGCAAACGTTCCTATCCCTGCAGGCCCTGCAGAGCTGCCTGTGCCTCTCGGGACCCCTGCTGCCCTGCACTACTGCCACTTGACAGAGATTCAGTGTCTATTTTAGTGCCCAAACTTGATCCTTATGGTAGCACTCTGAGGGGGCCCTGTCAGATTACACACACACACACACACACACACACACACACACACACACATACACACACACACCCTGCAAGCCCATGTGCGATGGGCACAAGCTCTCCCATCACTGTGAGCACCTAGCTGGACTTAAGCCAGCATTTGAACTAGGGCAGTGCCTAGCGTGTGTGTGGCCCTGGGTCCCATCCCCGGCACTCCCAGAAGGAACAAGGACAAAGAGAAATTCACAGATGAGCCCGCTCACGCTCCCTTTGTGATCGCCCATCTCCCTGAGGCCCTGGGACTCCCTTGTGCTTCGCACTGCAAAAGGACGCAGCCTGCTGGTTTCACCTTACTCTGAATTTCAGAGGAGGAAGCTCAGGGTGCTGAGTAACTGTCCCCCAGTGCGGAGACCTGAGAGCTGTGCTGGTGTTTGCTCCCAGTAGTGATCGCACGGGACACTTACGCGTCTGCCACGTGACGCCCTCCATCACGTGACACTGTCCATTGATGGAATCCACAGTGGTGACCAACACCTTCAGACTCCTTGGTGTGCATGGAAATCTCATGGTGCACAGTAGATGCCCTCTGAGACAGCCAGGGAGCACCTGGAAACATGACCACAGCCAGCCCTACCTGACTGCCCTTGTCCTGTGCACACACAACTCTGATATAATAAGGCAAGACAGGAGATTAACTGACAGTTAATTAAATGACAGTGTAAAGTACAACAGTTACCACTGCAGTGAAGGTTCTCCGAGATGCAGTCACCCCTCAGAATGGTCATCAGTTCATTCCAAAACTCGGGAGTGCAGCCAGGACTGATGGGTACTGAACAACACGTTTTCTGGAAGAAACAGTGCTGAGAAATTCTTCCTGAAAGTTCACCAGAGATTTCACAATTTGTTGGTTTTTATCTTACCTTTTCCTGAGCCAGTAGAATACTCGTAGGCTCAAAAGTGCCACTCCTCACCTTCCTGTGATCCTTGATGAGCACTTACAGTGCACAAAAGACCAGAGAGTGACAAGAAATGGGGGCTGTGCTGTTCCCAAGCTCCCTGAGACCCGTGCGGGTGCCTAGCCCTGAGACAGCTATCTTCGTCAAAATGTGGATGGGAATGCAGGATGGGACAAATTTTGGAGCTGATGGTGCCGAAGTAGGGCTGCGTTACCATCCTGTGCTCAGCCTTCTTCCAGTGACAACGGAAGGTGGTGCAGTGCCTTCGCATGACAAAGATGTTGTGCCTTGGCATGCATCACAACACGCAGGTCACCGGGATGTGGCACACAGCTCCACAGCCCCGGGCAGGAGGGGAGGATATGAGGAACGAGGGCAGCGGTCCAGGCAGGCTGTGCTTCACCCCAGGGCAGCAGGAGCAGGACAGGGCTGCGCAGGGTTTCATCCTGTGGTGTAGAATGATGCCCTTTAAAGCTGATGAATTGTGTCCAGAATTTTCTATTTAATATTCTCAGACTATGGTTGACCTCGGGAAACAGAGACTTCAAGCATCATGTGCAAAAGCAGGAAGGAAAAAGTTCTGTGCCAGGACCTGCCATTTATCAGCGAGAAGGAAGCTGAAAGCAAAGCCAAGGATGGAGGAACCGCTGCTTTTGAGTACAGGTCTCTATGCCTAACCGGACTCTACTCACATCTGTGATCTGCCTGAGGCTGCGTCCAGAGTTGTGGGTGTGCACACATGTGTGTGTGTGGACATATACCTAAGTATCATCCCCTAACACCCTTGGGAGAAGATAAGAATGCTTTCAATTCAAATTTTCTGAAAGTCTTTTTCAATTATGTTTAAAGTAGAAAAGTGATTTAAAGGTACTCTGGCAGGAATAGCAAAAAATCCATGTGGAAGAAAATTAATTGCAGCTATGATTATCCAAGCAAAGAACTGAAAATGATACAAATGTCCATCAAGAAAAAAAAAGGCTCACAAAAATTAAACACTGGGTGGAGTATTATATAACTGTAAAAAAGCAAGGAGGAAGATATCCACAGCCTTCTGTGAAATGATCTGCAGAACATAGCATCAAATGGAAAAGCAGAATGGAAAAGTTTTGTGCACTTTGCTGTCATTTATCAAAGAAAAGGAAATACTGAGCTATATGATCATTTTCTTATGTGTTAAAAAATAAAATGATAAGCCAGGTGTGATAGCACATACCTGTAATGCTAGCATGTTGGCAAGTTGAGGCAGGAGGATTTTAAGTTCAAACCCAACCTTGGCAACTTACCAATTTAAAGAGACTGTCTCAAAAAATGTCTTAGAGCTATTGTTCAATGTGAAAGCCCTGAGTTCAGTCTCCAGCACTGCAAGTGAGTAAATAAAAGGATAAACCATATATGTTCAAAAATCACTTAAACATTCTGGGTTACGTTTAATTTTGTTAGTAATCCCTATCAAAAGCAAAATGGAGGGCCGAGGATTTAGCGCAGTGGTTCTGGCACCTGCTTTGCAAATGCAAGGACCTGTGTTCGATCCCCGGTACCAAAAAAA